GCCCGCCTCGCCTCACTGGCATGAGGCTTACGCCTCACGCTTAATATTTTAAAACTTACATAAATCTTGAAGTAAATGCCTGACATTGGACTCTACAGGAGAGGAAGGGGAGAGAGTAGTTCATCATAATGATGATTCAAATGAAGAACCCCTTAGTGATGACAGTGTTGATGGCTTATGAGTTCTTATGTGATATGTCATTGCTATTTTTTTTTTTGGAAATTAGAATTATATGTTAATGAAAAGAATACTGAGATTTGAGAAAGAATTTTGAGTTGAACTATATTTCATGTTGTCTGATTATTGGGATATTTTGATTTCACTTCATATCTTATGCTTTTTTATGTTTTATATTATTCACTCATTAATATATAAAAAAATTATCATTTTATGTTTACACAATCTTTTGATTAGCCTCAAAACACCTTGAGGCTTATGCCTCGCCTCACGAATGAAAAACGCCTCAATACCCGAATACGCAATTTTAAACATTGCTCAGAAGTCACCAATTCGTCTCAATCGCCTCGTTGTCGTTCCACGGTCCATTGTGGACCGACAGTCGTCCTTGCACTCGCCTCACGGCACGTGAGCCTGCCCGCACAGTTGCTAGGGTCAGTGGGTCGGGTTGACCCTGGTTAGTGGCAGGTCGAGTCCGGGACTTAATTTCCGACCAGCTTGTCTAATCGGGCCGGATCAATTGAACGCGGATCTATTTTAGGTTGGACCATACTTGTCAATAGCACCATGGCACAAAGTTCCCCGTGGACTCGACCATGGCGCAAAGTTCCCCGTGGAGCCATGACGCATATGCGCGACGAAGTGGGTGTCATTTTGAATACAACGCAAAATAAAAATAATTATAAAAATTATTATATGAATCCTATTTTAGAGTATAAATCAAGTTGGGTAAGGCTTGGTTGAATATGTTTGTTGTCCAAAGTCCAAACCATTAAAGTAAGCTTCAAGTTCATCCAAAATTTCTACTAAAATATAGCTCAAATAAAGTCTAATAAAACCTAACTAAACTATTTTAATCATTACAAATAAATTTAAAATTAATTATTACATTATTTTAGAAATTAAAATATATAAATCTTAAAAACTATTTATAATTATATTAAAAAATCCCTAAAATTCAAATTGCGCGTGTCGTGCGCCATTGCGCAAATGGCGAGTGCCAACTTGAACAAGTGCGCCGCGCCATGCAGTTAGCACCGCCGCGCTGCGCCATGGCGCATGGCGCGTACCATTTTGCGCCATTGACAAGGATGGGTTGCAAACCCGACCCGAAAACTAACACCCCTATTAATTGTATGTTATTTCTTGAAGATATAGTGCTCATATATGAAACATCTTTTGGATGAAATTAAAAGTTCGAACACTAGAAAAATCATTTAAGGAAAAGGAGCATGATTATAAAATAACAATTCAGGGCATCATAAGTTATTTTAATGGATATGAAATTGATAATTAGTAGCCACTATGGCAAGAAGATCAGGTTATATGAAATTAATTAGATAACAATAAAGATATAGCTTCTTAAGTTAAATTTAGACGTTAACATGAAAGTGTCTCATGAGTGATATGTTCTGAAATAATAGCATGAAGACTTGAAATCAGTTTTTCTTTTAAACTACAATAACACCAACTTTGCAATAAGAATATGTGTCGGGCTATCGAGAAGTGATTGTAATTAAAACCTCAAGCTTTGGTTTCACATTAATTTTAATTCCCCACGTTAGTCCAACATCTTCTAGCATATGTGCTCAAAAACATGAAGCCTTTTAGGTAAAGCTTTTCTTCTGTGTTGCTTTTCAAAAATCATGACAAACTTTTGATGTGTGTGGATAAAACGCAAAATGAAACGTAATTAACTACATGTGCATTATTCCCATATTCACGATCATTAACAGTGAAAAGGTAAAGTAGCTCACCGATCTCTATCAGAATAGAAAATTTTTCTTTGGGTCAGCCAACACTAGGGGTGTAAACGAGTCGAGTTGGGCTCGAGTCAAGCTTAACTCGAACTCTACTCGTGAGCCAAATCCCGAGCTCGAGCTCGGCTCGTCCCACTATAAATGAGCTCGCAAGCCTTCCACTGTTCGGTCCGACTTTCGATCGTTCGTGATGCCTTCCACGTAGTCCTGCGGATTATTTAAAAAAAATTAATAATGATTCGAGTCAGTTTGCAAGCTCACGAGTCAAGCCTTATCTCTCGAACTCGAGTTTGCTTAATAAACGAGCTAGTGACTTAATAAGCTCAGCTCGCGAGCTCGTTAACGAGTCGAGCTCAAACCAACTCGACTCACTTACACCCCTAGCCAACACAACCTTATCAAATAAAATAGGCATTGATCCCTCACATTAATAACCATTTCAAACTTTATGTTTCCTGATTTCCCACATGCAGGCTGTAATATTTAAGTTCCTACAGCCCGAACTTGGTGATTAATGACTCCTATGATGCAAAACACACAAATTCATATTTTACTTCCAATGCTACTTCTTCCTAATTTTCTTCAAAATATTAATGCCATTCTCTTAAAATATGGTACGGTTCTTACTAAAGTTAAAGGACAAGAAGCCAGCAGCTTGACAATCATTAGATGGCATGGTAATGAACTTACTAAATTGTTCCCTATGCATTCATGTTTTACAGTAGAAGTTTGAATGATTGCAAACACCTAGCTCTACATTCTACTTAAGAAAAAAGAAGCTTGAAGATCAGTATGTAATGCATTAACTGCTAGAACACCTCAATAGCAATGCAAATCTTTACAAATGGATCAAATGTTGCATATTAGCTAGAAAAGTGAAATAGCTATCACCACCCACCTCCAGTAAAAACAAAAACAATTGACTACCAATATTTTTCTAACAAACTGTACAATTGTTTTAATCGCAATTTCTAACTGAACACATTCACCACAAACATGCAATGAATGATGAAATTGTTATATCTAACAATATCACATCTTTCACTACTAGGAACAGATTAAAATTTATAAGCTCATAAAGTTGAGATAATAAGCAGCTCAAAACCAAGAGATAAAATAAGGTAATAAATCAATTATTTTAAAGTAAATTATATATTGCTCATGCAAGAAAAATAAAGTTATTGCAGTCGTACTTTGAAATATCAATCTTAGTCTCAAAAAATATGTGACAAGCAAACAGGTTTAACAAAACCCAAATTTTAAATCTGCCTATTTCATACTACTAAGACTTTAGTAACTCAAAAGGAATAAAGAAACAATTCAGAGAACTGAACTGTGAAAGATAAACAATATCAATGATAAAGAAGACAGATTTCATGCTGCATGTCTCTTCAAATAAACATAGTCCCCCCCACAAAGATTGGTCCTCCCATGCATGGGCCCAGTTGGTCCCCATGTGCAGGAGGCACACCAACACCAAAACCAGCAGTGCCGAAAAGGTCAGTGAGCTCCGTCTTTCCTAAATACTTGATCCAAATTTTCCATTTACTTGTCAGAAGAACTATCACATAGTAACAATATACCGTAAATCATGTAGCTTGGAAACAACTCTACATTCCGCTTTCTAAATAAAATCAACAACACGAGAGCACTATTTATGACCCTTCAATTGGTTTTACAGTTTAGTAGTCAAAAGAATCGATTACCTCCCAAGGGAACTTTCATGGATCCTTCAAAGCTTTTAGAAAGAATTCATCTCAAGACAATATGACCTCCTCTCCATCAACATGCTTGCCGCAATATTGTATGGCTCCTCAAATGCATTTGAGACCCAAGACAAATCAGGCGCCACGTCACTAGTGCAACTTCCACCAGACATCATTTCTCTCGACCTCTCTTCACTGGGCTGGATAGCCACCAGTGTAGCCCCCTTCAGCATCATTCCACAGGGAATCTCGAGCAGTGGCTCATACCACAGCCTCATGCTGAGTGCAGGCATTAATGTCCTCTGTGATGAACCTGATGCGCAGACCGGGTTCACTGTTAGCTCCTGCAGCTGATGTCTATTCATGCTCAGCACCCCCTGGCCATCTGCATCGGTGAGATCCAAAAACTCCAATGTCTCATGATCACTGACAATTGACTGGAGGAGGTAGTGTCGGGCCGAGGCAGCAATCAGGGAGCTGATTGTCCACACAACTCTAAGCTTGAGGCCTCCATTGACATAGAAAGATTCAGGGATGCTATTGTTGTCTTCTCCACTGCAGAGATCAGGAGCAGGGTTAGGGCTCCCGAATTGGGTGGACAGGGATGGGGATGACAAGGAAATGACGGAGGAGGCACCGAGTATAACGCAGCTGTTGATGGTGGATCCGAAGTTAGCCTTCCACTTAAGAAGTACCCCGTCATTGACTACTAGCTCGCCTGCAGGGAGCTGAATCCGCAGGCGGCGAATCTCCTTGAAGCTCTTGAGGACCTGGGATGGCGAATAGTGGGAAACTTCAGAGAAAGAAGATTCCACATACGAAAGGCGCTTGGATGGGGAAGAGGAGAGGATCTGACCGAGGGCATAGATTGGGCGAACGATGCCACCCAGGAAAGCGCGCGCAAAGTGAGAGAAAACGCTTCGAGTCTTCTCTGCAGCAGCTGAAGAGCCAGAGGAGGAAGGCGACGTGGAGAGATCGTCGGAGACGACGCAGTCGATGCGGACAGAAACGTTATCGACAAGGGGTACAAGTGAGTGGAAGCGGTGGGAGACAACGCAGCAGCGCCCAAGCGCCTTTACGTCTTTAATATGATTAAAGATGACGAGGAGGATCGAATCCGGCAGCCGATCGAAATGGTCTATCCCTTGTTCCTCCTCCAACGCCGCCGATGCGGCTAACCCATCACCGATCCACCGCTCCAGTGGATCCGGTGTCCCACTCAACATTATATCGAAAAAATAAGAAAAAATCAAGAAGGAAACCCTATGAAGTCAGAACAAAAAAGCCCTAGGACGCAAAATCCGCAGTCTCCGCAACGAATCCGCGAGGGAGACCCAGCTGAAGAAGGCGGGAAACCAAGGAACTACTCCTTATCGTAAGCTAACTCGCGCTTACAGGAGGAGGTAGGAAGCCGACCCGAGTATTGAGACGGACGGCGACAACGACGAGGCAAGATGAAAGGGTTCGAAAGACCGTCGTAAAACCTAGAATAAAATTTCCCCCGGGGTCTTTTAAGAGAACTGTGTAAGTGCTTGTCTTCTGTCTTTCAACACTGAGAGTTGAAACCGCGTGATTAAAGTTTTTTTTTTTTTATTGCCAGTGGAGTATTTTTTTTTTTTAATGTATAGGCTGCTGATTATTAAATAAATTATTAATAATGATATTTTTATTTAATTTATAATTTATATATCTTAAATATATAAATACATAAAACTTTGTAGTCAACTATAATTAAAGATATCCAAGATTATTTTGATTGTACAATTATTGATTGTAATTTATGATGAGGGTAGATTTCAAAATTACAAAATGAGCAATTTTGTTAAGATTCATGGAAAATGCTTTTATTGAAAAATTTATTTGAAATCATGTAATATATGTTTTATTTTAATAAGATTGATATGTCACCAAAAAATAATCTTGATCCAGCACGAATCTCGAGGCAAAATCAAGTTGGAAACTTCCAAAATAAAAAATGAGATCATCTGAACTCCGATTTAAGCAAATTTATAGTCGAATTGATCATCTCAAAAGTACGAGCACAATGGCACCAAATTCGACACAATCTAAGCTCAAATGGGTCCAAATCTAAGACATGAAGCTTCCAAACAGCTTCCAAACGTGGCATGCTTATAGTCGAATCGAGCGGCTCGACGAGGCGAATCCAACGAGCTTAAGATCATCAAATTCTGATATCATTAAGACACTCAAATGTCTGATAAATGCTCTATGATCAAAGAAATCAATACGGGCCATCCGATGGAGCACTCCAAACCTACCCCGGATCTTCTTTATATTTACGGAGTGTGCCACTCCAGAAAATCTATAAATATAGCCCTCATTTCTCATGAGAGGGGACCCAAGCAAGAAGCAAGAGAGAGGAAGGAAGAAAGCTCTAGCCGCCTAGTTCCTCTTCGGCCACCACCGTAGTTTTGCCGCACCACCGCCGGACCACCAAGAGACACCGAAGTGTTGCCGCACCACTGCCGGAGTACTGACGCAACACCGTCGTAGTTCTATCGCACCACCTCCGGACCACCAAGGGACACCGAAGTGTTACCGCACCACTGCCGGAGTACTGCCGCAACACCGCCGTAGTTCTATCGCACCACCGCCGGACCACCAAGGGACACCGAAGTGTTGCCGCACCACCGCCGGAGTACTGCCGCAACACCGCCGTAGTTCTATCGCACCACCGCCGTAGTTCTGCCGCACCACCGACGGAGCACCAAGGGACACCGAAGTACCATCTGAAGCTGAAGTACCCCCTGAAACTGAAGTGCCACTGCCGATCCACCACCTGACACCGGAGTACCGCCAGACCACCACCTAACAGTGGAGTGACGTTGGACTTTTGCAAAGCTCTCAGCTGATATTTGTAATCTGGTCGTCTTCAAGGACGAGTCAGACCATTGTACTTTCCTCAAATTTTAGTGGAATCATTTTCAATTGGGCTAGGCCTTGTGGGTTTTTCCCTTTCCGGGTTTTCCACCTAAAAAAATATTGTGTTCTCTGTGTGTGAGCTGGATATCCGTGCAACTCTAAGACGTAGAATTATAACTCTATCGTCGCATATATTCTAGCCCGCAACAAAGATATTTATAGAATTAATTAATATTTACTATAATTTTTTAAATTATAAAATAATCATATTATATGATGTATATTATATTATATGATCATTATGATAATCGCAAATCAAATTATTCAAATCAATTTACATTATTAAGATTATTTAGATTTTAAACTATCGTATTGTATGGTAAACTTTACTATCATAGATAAAATCCCCAAAATCAAATAAGCAATTAACTGAGTTTATTAAAAATTGAACTACTCATAATTGTATTGAAAATATCATTTGTTGTTTACTTGGGCTTTCTACATTTAGGAGGGGAGACAAGAGGCCAAGAAATCTAACAAAAAATTTAGTGTTAATGTTGCGAGTCAAAATTAGTATCAATACATGCATTGATATTATGGGTGATGATGTGCGTTGACATTTTTTGCCACTACATTTGATGAAGTCAATAGAAGTTGATGTAGCTAGGCAATAATGGTCGAAGAACCATAGCATGATGATGATGGTCCGATGATTATAATCGAGCGATATTTTTTGGAGGATCGTAGTTGGACAATAGAAGTTAAAAGATCGTAGTCAAGTGACATTGGTCGGAGGAATGTAGTCAAATGATAATGATCGGAGATTGAAGGATCATAATCAACTGATAATACTTAGAGGATCATAATCACACTATTGTGGTTATAGTATCGTAGTTGAGTGATTATGATTAGAGGATCATAATGATCATAATCTGGTGGTGATGGTCATAGGATCGCAGTCGGCTAATAAATTGCAGTGTGGTGATAGCGGTTGGAGGATCGTAATCAGACAATGAAGTTTAAACGACAACAATCTGGTAATAGAGGTCAAAAAGATTGAGGTCATAGGACATTAGTTGGGCAACAAATTTCGGGGGGCCATATACATTAGTCAAATGACATAGTATGGCAAAGATGATCATCAACCATAAATTGGTGAAAATAGTCAAAGGATAGTAGGCGAGTTATGATGATAAAATGTGTGACAAACAAATCCCAATATTAAGTTTTGGAATATTTCAGATTATCTTCACATATTCAATTTAAATAAATAATAGAGTACATAGCTACTAAAATATTCAAGTACTAAAAAATAAACTCATCCACAATATTTTTTTTATTTCATCAAAATGCATAAACTATAGTACATATATATACATAAAATCTACATAACTAAAATAATAAATTAGTCATAACTTTACAAAAATTAAAATAAAAAAAATGCCTATAAACTCAAATATGATCATAAATTTGCTAATCAACAAATTCCTCTTTCCCACACCCTGAAAATTAGAAGCAAAATTACAGAGAGCTATAACAGCTTAGCAGGAAATACAAACTGATCTAGATTTTTAAATTCTTTTATTATATATTTTTAAAATATTTAAAAGTAATTAAATGTAGTATAATAAATCATTGCACTAAGAATAATAGTAAAAGCCTAATAGTTATCCATATATTCAAATAATAATACTAATCAATTAATTAAACTGAATTACTATCAAAAATAGTAAACCGAAATTCATATCACAGAATAGTTCATATTAATTTTCTCTTTGTCCTCAGACCCCAATAGAATCTAAAACAATTCTAGCCCCTTAAGTATCTCTTTTGTGCTTATAACACAAGAACACGTCTTATATGCATTAGAATATTTCCTGGCACATATAGAATCTCAATGTATTTTAGCTTCTTATATCTTCTAGTGGCCATAATTCAGTCATATATGCAAATTATTTCATCATATTATAGCACTTGAAGCATAATTGAGTATGTGTCAAAATTGCAGAGTTTTTTATAACGGAAGGCAACATAAATTCCTACTAAGTAAAAATGTATAGTTTCAATAGAATAACTAAATTATCAGAGATTGTGCAGAATAATATTTAGACTTTAGTTATACTACAATATTATTTTTCAGAGTTTAGATATTTTTTATTTGATGAAAATCATACAAATTCAAAAAGTATGAGGGAAAATTTTCTAGAAAATATTCATAATCTTAATCTCTATAATATATTAAAAGTTAGCAATGAAAGTTTTACAAGAACAAAGTTATCCCTATTTTTCAAAAATGAAAATAAAAATTTTACCGAAAAATTAGATAAAAATTACGTATTTTTTAAAATTGAGATAGATGAGGTGTGACCTACCTTAAAAAGAATAAAATTTTCAACTAAGCCAACTTGTAAAAAAAAGGCTATATGACCTTCAAACCTGGTTTTATTTTTCTCTCTCATCTCTTCCTTCTCGCATTCTCTCCTTCCAACTCTCTGTTTGGGCAAAACAAAAAATCAAAACAATTTTAAGAAGTTTTTAAGTAGGATTGGATTATTTATAATAAATTAATATAAATGTATAAATGTAATTATTCAAATTATTTAATTTTAGCATAAAATTCTTATATATTATGTTATATCTTTAAATTTGAGCTTAAAAAAAATTATAAAAAAAATATTCATAATTTAGTTAAGCATGTCTAAAACACTATGATGAAATTAGTTTGCAAAACGATAACCTAACGGTCTAAAAAATCGCAGCAAAGGGGAAGCACCAACATGACGTCGAGTCTCACGTGAGAATATTCTGGGAGAATCTAGAAGATTTCCCATGAACGCAACGAGATGATGGGAAAGCAATCGCTCTGGCGTTTGATCAAGTTAGTGATTTTTAAATAGTAAATTATCTAAATCCAATTGTTAGTTCCATTTGCACCCCAACCTCATCGATGAATAAAGGAGAGAAGAAAGAACTAGAGGAGAGAGAATAAACAAGAAGTATTTTGATGGCCGAAAGTCAAGAATAGTACATTCAACTAGTTTGAGAAATTATCATGCTTTAGGTAGCAATATGTACTATATTTTTTATTTCAATTCCAAAGTGTTTAAAACAATATATGATTATAAATGTGTTTTTCTTGATTTTGGAAACAATTTCACATAACTTTTAATATATTGTTTCCCACTCTGTTATGGATAATTTGACTATAAATTACAAAATTTTACAAGTTGATTTATTATGTATGAATTTTTTTTTTTTTTTGAATAAAATTACTTTGGAAAAAATTCTTGAAATATTTAAAATATTAATAATCTTAATATCTATTACATATTAAAAATTACGTTGTGAAAGTTTTACCAGTGCAAATATTATTGTTTAAATTATTTCAGGGCAAAAACAAAGGCAAAGGTTCTGCTAAGTAGATTAAGTCTTATAAAGGAACTTTTATTTGGTCCGGTAACAGGACGTAGCTCTACGTTCGGCCGCCAGTAGAATCGCGCCACGCATTCTCACTATTTACCGCGCGCCCCAACAACCCGACCCAGAACGGACCCAGGATGGCTCGGTATTTCTCGATTTTGCTAGGTATTGCTCGATTTTGCTCGACAATAATCAATACCGAGCAATACCGAGTTATACCGAGTTTTCCTA